AGACAGACAGAGAGAGGCAGAGAGACAGAAAGCGAGAAATCACCCCCCCAGGGGGGATGGCCACGCTGCAATCCCTTCTCCTCCATTCACCTCTTGGGATCTTGGGCACACACACACACCCGCCCGGCATGAGTTTAAGCCACCGGGTCTGGGACTCAAACCGCAGTGGACTACGTGGGAGTCCAGTGACATAGCCATTACGCTAACTGCTGGTCCCCATGTTTATCTTTTAAAAAGGAAGTTATTGGGCCCAGCAGATAGTGTGGCGGTTGATGCATTGAACTCCCACATGACACACCAGAGACAGAAGGCAAGAAGTCACCCCCTGAGGGCACGTTCACACCACAATCCTTTCTCCACCAGTCTCCTCCTGGGATTTTGCGCACACAAGCACATGTGTCCAGCGAGAGTTTTAAGTCACCAGGTTTGGGACTTGAACTGTGGTCAACTATGTGGGAGTCCAGTGACATAACCGTTACACTCTCCAGTGGTCCCTCCATGGACTTTTTTATTTTAATTGCTAGAGGGTGTGTGTACTCACTGAAGAGGAAAAAAAAGAAAGAGGGAGTGACAAAGCACCCCACCCTCCAGTGGGCCATGGTTACTCTGTAATCCTCTCCCCATTTCTCCATCTTGTTGGGATTTGGGGAACACACACACATCTGCCCAATGTTCCGCAAACTTTTTGAAATTCTCGATACATGTTCTGTGTCACTATAGACTACAAGAATGGCACAATGGCAGAAGGCCCCAGGGAATTCCTGTGCAGTGTATCTGGGTGCTTTTCCAAGCTCTAGGTTCTCTGGTACGGTGACATCTGAGGCTGGAGGACACTGGGATTCCTGTATTGGTTAGAATTCTGGCCCAGCTGGGTGATTCTCCCTTCTCATGTTGCCTTTCACTGACTGATGGATACTTATCTTTATAGGAGTATTCCTTATAGGCAAACAGTGTCTTGGTACTTATTTTAATTCTTTTTTTTTAGAGAGATTTTTTGCTATAGGTCTCATGTGCTTGCCTGTGAGACAGAGAAAGAGAGAAAGAAACAGAAAGTGAGAAATCACTCCTCCAGGGAGAATGGCCATGCTGCAATCCCTTCTCCTTTCTCCTCTCAGAGTTTTTAGCACTGACGCACATGCACCTGGTGTGTTTCTTTTTTTTTTTTTAAGAGTTTTTTGCTATAGGGTGCGTGCGCTTGCCAGACAGACAGAGAGACAGAGAGACAGAAAGCGAGAAATCACCCTCCTAGGGAGGATGGCCACATTGCAATCCCTTCTCCTCCATTCTCCTCTCGGGATCTTGGGCACGCACGCACACGCCTCTGGCGTGAGTTTAAGATCGGA